ATTGGTCCATGAAATGTTTACTCATGTCTTGAGACGGGAAAATTACTTCCTTGGCATTTGTAAGATCTTGGCCAGGTGAAGCCCACCACACTGGATGCCAGCAGACACTATCTTGTCTTTCTCATCAGTTTAAGCTCTGCAGGCAAAGGCACTTCTTGTAAATTCTCAGCACTAGAGCAAGGTTCCTGGCAGGATCGGGACCTCTCAAGTGTGCTTAGAAGCCATGAATAGCCTTGACAGAAAAACGATTTCTCCTTCCACATGATGGATAGCAGAGAAGTGAGCAAGGAGACATAGAGAGAGGCAATTTAACAAGCACCTGCACTGGCAAAATGAGTGATGTTTACGTGGTGTGCAGAGAGAAGGCAACATGGTGATGTGGTCTGTCTTAGCCATTTTTGCTGTAGTCTAATATCTCAGGGTGACAGGCCGATCAATTGAAAATAATAGGGCAGAGTTCCAAACACTGGAAGAGGCTAGCTTCTTTTCCACTCTAATGAAGAAGAGCAATAAGGGTCTTGGTGTGATCTCCTTGGGAAAGCTGGTTTCTCTGTGGTGCTGTTTGTTGGGCTTAGCCTGCTCCATAGCTGTATACTCTCTACAGACAATGGATGAATGGAAGGATGTACATGGCAGATCAACACAGTTGAAGTTGCAAAAGTCTGAGATTGAAAGCCACAATTTTTTTCTGTGTTGTATACATGTGTAGATGTTGATGTTGGTATGTGTTCATCCATATGACGGCCAGGGGAGAACCTCAGTTATCATCCTCAATTGCTTTCTACCTTCCTTTTTGAGACAGGGTTTGTCACTGAACCCAGAGCTCACCAGTTAATCAATGTGGCTAGAAATCTACATGTCTCTATTTCCCCAGGACTGGAATTATGGACATGCCCCACCATGCTCAGCTTTTATATGGGTGCTGGGGACCCAAGTTCAGGCCCTTAGCTTGGGTAGCAAGACCTTTTACTGACTGAGCCATATTCAAAGTCTTGAGTTCTGCTTTTAATGCTGGTTCAATCTCATGCCAATTTTGTGCCATCCCTACCAACTAAGGCCATAGGACCTTTACAGGGAGACTTCATCAGTCATCCAAGACACAATTAGCCTTGGTCTGATTCCCTCTTTTCTTCAGATGTTCTGTCTCTCCTTCTGTATGTTAACCTCCAGTCTTCTACATAGAACTTGAATGATATATCTCTTCCCATTCCCAAATATACCTGTCCTCAATGATTGCTTCATTTCATGGACTTCAACAGCTGACTGAGCATATGAGACCTGTTATTACCAGCACCAATGGCCAGCATTTCTTTAGTTCTTTCTCTACCTAGGAACTGACTTGGGTACTAGAGATAAAAGTATGACAAAGGCAAGGTGACTCTACCAGAGTGCTAGTGATATACAAAGCCAGATGTGTTGGACTCATAAGTGGGTTAAAATATTTATAATGCTAAATTCAAAGGTAGTGTTTTTCTATACATAGCTGTGTTACATATAAAATTATACCAAGATAGTTTTTAAGAGAGTGTTTTTTCATGTAGTAGAGACTGTCTTGGAACTTTCTAAGTAGTATAGGCAATTTTTCCACCCCTGCCCCCAAAACTCAGAAATTACAGGCATATGCTATCAACATCCAGCTGGAATCTGAACACCTTATAGGATATAACTAAAGTGCCCAAAGTTCATTCATTCTCTGCTCAGGCTTGGTAGAGCTCTGGCCATCACCAAGGAAAAGGGAATCCTTGCTTACCATCTTGGAAGCTGACATAGTCATGAAGTCAATCTGAGCATATTTTTTAGGGAGAGCTAGTGGTACCATGGGAAAACCACCAAGCATGAGCATATCAAGTCGTTATTAAAGTATAATTAAAGAAATATTGTAAATCCTTCTTTAAGACCAAATTGAAATACTGCATTCTGTACCATAACTATAAGTGCCTAGATAATACTGTTCAGACATACCAAAATATAAATGCCATATCTGCACCTTGGAACTCTTTGAAGCTCCACATAGCATTGCTAACCCTGTTAATATATTCCCATATGTTCCTTAATGTGGCTCAGAGAAGATGCAGCTAAGTATCTTTGGCCAGTCTACTTCTCCTAGCCTTCTCTAGCAGCTCTGTGATCTTACTTTGGGATCTTCCCTCTTCTACAATGCCACTTGCTTAACTTGTCAAGCAAGATGATCTATCTTCTTTGTCAATAGCTGGTTTAGAAGGTATATGAGAGAGCTTGCTTCTATGTGGTCTCATTGCTATGGGAAGACACAGCAAGAAAGGAACCCATCTACAATCAAGAAGCAGAGGCTCACCAGGAATTTTCCTGATGTTTTCAGTCTACAGAATTACATGCATTGCCATTGGTCATCGTTTACTCTGCTGGAGCACCAAGCATTCTTACTTAGTTATAGTTGCTTAGTAACTCTAAAGATTTATTGTACTGTGTGTGTGTGTGTGTGTGTGTGTGTGTGTGTGTGTGTGTGCCAGGGGTGCCACAGAGGCCAAAAGGGCATCAGATCTCCTGGATCTGGAGTCAAAAGCTGTTGTGAGCTACATCATGTGTGCTGAAAATCCAATTCCAGTCCTCTGCAAAAGCAGAAAGTGATCTTGTCTGCTGAGCCATCTCTAGCTCCTTACCTGATAATTCTAAGAAACACTAATCAATATTCATCCTCAGCAACTGCTGATATGCTTCTTTATGTCAAGATGTCAAGGAAAAAAATGATACCCACAAACCCAAGGTGAGCACAGTCCCAGGGAAGACCCTTCCAGACCATCAAGATCAGCTTCAACTGTTAGCAGGAAATGTCTAGTCTTTCATTTACTTTTTTAAGCTTTCCAGCCACGCTGGGAGAGTCAGGGCCTCTAAGGAGGATTGCAGCTGGGGATTTATGGAGCTAGATTGAACAAGGCAGGGTCCTTGTAACTAACTTTGTTTACCCAGGACCATAATTAATTGCATGTGTATGACTTTATTAGGTGACTGGTTTCACAACTGTTATTAGATTCTCAAAAAGGTCTACTCCCCATTCCTCCCCTAAAGCAAGAAACTACTGCAGAAGATGCAGTATTAGTTACCTTTGTATATCTGTGACAATATACCTGACAGACACAACTTAAAGGGAGGGATGGATAATTTTACCCATAGTTCATCACAGTTGGATAGAGAGAGAGAGGGAGACAGAACAGGGCAAAGGAGAGATAGAGTTATCAAGGACATGCCCCCAGTGAACTAATTCCCCCAGCTAAGTCCCACCTCTTAGAGCCTCCAGGATTCCTTAAATAGCACCACCAATCAGGAACCTAGGAGTCTTTAGGGACCATTTTCCAGTCAAAGCAAGAAAAGGTTCAACATGCTTAGAACATGAAGACATATATAAATGCAATATCTTAGTCTTAGCACTCTGGTGGCGTTTCCATAAATGAGAACTCCATGGGGGTGTACTACAGTGAGTCAACCTCCCCTGTTGCAATGGTTAAAAAACATAGGCTGCCACCCAAATCCACATCGGATTGCACAAGCTGCCCAGTTAATGTTGCTGTAGAAAGATCATTTGCTTCCTAGGTAGCAAGACAAAGCAAACACCAGGGCAGGGGTGTTTGCAGATTCTAGGAAAGAGGATGCCATATATGGCAGGAAGCTTCTCCCATCGCAGGGTCTTCTACTCGTTGGCAGGGGAGGTCTGTTTAGCAGAGAACACCCCCTTCTTTGGGGGATGATCAGGGGAGAAACTTCATTTCCGAGTAATTGCAGAAACTAGCCAGGCTAAACCTGCTATAAAAGCCTATCACTTAATAAATATTTGCAAATACAACTGCAATTAAAAATGGCTTTAGAGTAGATTTAAGCAAAACAAAACCTAATGATAAGGAACCAGAAGGACGATCCAGAAATGGCTTCAAGGAGGGCATCCGCTAGAAGACATTTTCTGGATCAAGGAGATAAAACCTGCAACAGGAAATGAGGAATTCAAACCATGTGTTTTCATTTCCATTCATTTTTTTCCTAATTGTGATTTCTTTTGGAGTTGTGTTGGTATTTTCACGGTGTTTTTTAACCCAACTCCTCCGAAGCCACGATTAGTTTATAGGGAAATGAAAATCAAAATAGATCCCACCTATTAGGATGAGATTTTTTTAGTTAGTTAATTAATTAATTAATTAATTTGTTGTTGTTGTATTCGAGACAGTGTCTCTCTTCATAGCTGTGGCTATCTTGAAACTCACCATGTAGATTACACTGGCTTCAGACACACAGAGGTCCACCTGCCTCAGCCTTCCAAGTGCTGGGATTCAGGGTGGGCACCTCCATGCCTGAATACACTCTTTCGCTTTTTTAAAAGGGGTAAACATTGGTGTGACTGTTGAACATGACTTCTGGGAATGTATCCCTAAGGTGGTCTGTGGCTACATACACTGCTAGTGGTTTCTTCAAAGCTAGACAAAGAATTACCATTTGAGATAGATATCAATTCCATTTTTAGACTCCTACATTCCCCAGAATTGAAAGTGAGGATTTGAACAATCTACATAGTTGTACATTCATGGCCATAGCAGCATTATGCACAAAAGCCTAAGGGAGGCAGAAACTCTCAGTGGTTCACAGAGGGGTGAGAAGATGAACTCAGGGTAGTACAGACAGGTGGGTATCAGCCCTGAAAGGAAGAAAATTCTGACACCTGCTTCAACATGGATAAACTCTGAGAACATCATAAATGAAATAAACTGATCAAAAAGAAGCTCTTCCATTCCTACGAGGCCCCACGAGCAGTCAGGTTCACAAAGACAGAGAGTAGAATGGAGGTTACCAGGGTTGAGGAGAGGCACAGGGAGCAGCGGTTTGTTAGACCAGAGTCTCAGGGTGGGGCAGTAAAAACATTCTGGAAACGGACAGCGGTGGTACTGCTGAGGACTTGAGAGTGATAAAATCTGGGTTATGCATATTTTGCCACAGTCAAATAAGAGTAGAGGGGAGCCATGCTGACAAACAATACTTACAAGATATAGGCAATCACCCCGATGGACCAGCAGTCAACGGCTTTGCTGTATGGTTTCTGGGCGAGAACTTCAGGAGCTGTGGACAGATAAAATCCTGATGATTCAAACGCCTGAGACCAAATACATTTACTTGGACTTCTCATTTTCTGACTTTTGTTTATCCTTGTTGGTTATTCAAAATTTGAGCTACCTGTGAATCTAAAACTGAATATGGGGCTAAGGATCCTGAACTATCAGTGGCAGAACACATGCTCAGCCTGCAGAAAGTCCTAAGTTCAAATTCAACTCCAAGTTTCAAAGACATTTAAATAGAAAATGACAAATGACTCATTTGTTATCTTTTCTAACTAAAGAAATACAAGGAGGTGTATGTAGAAATAATCACCCATCAACTGATTAATAAATGTTCTAAGTACCATAGCTTTGTCAACACTGCTGTGAGATGTTAATACTTAATTTGTGTATGAAGTATGAGCTGTATCCCCAAACTGACTAAGGACAGCATCTCTGGCTCCCGTGGGGACAAGGATGAGTAGCCCTTCCTATGCCTTTATAGAGCATACGGTACAGCCCAGAGAGCAGGGATCACTTGGAGCTGCTCGTTTTCTCTGAGTTGGGGTGATTTTCCTATTGCACTCTCACCTGATCTTCTACAGAGTGTGGGGCAGGGGCTGCTACTTAATCCCACTTCATCACTGAACCACTAGGTCATCAAGAGTCATTGCTTCCAGGGGTTGGGGATCATTTTGTATGAGCCCTGACACCCATGTTCCTGGCCTTGGTGTTGCAGCTTAGGGTCAGGTATTCACCTGGTGTCTGTGACCCACAGCATCTGGTGCAGTTGGCACTCAACTGTGGGTAAATACATACGAGATGATCCATCTCACTGACAAGTGAAGTCTGCTTTTCAATTTAAAGATCTCATGCTTGAGGCAACTTTAGTACACAGAACAATTGCAAATGTAGAAAAAGTGAAAATAGAATCACTGATAAAATCTTTGCTGGGCCTAGAATTGTGTGTTCTATATGGCTTACTTACCCCAACACCTTTGGGAAAATTCCATTATCATAACATTCATTATCCCCAAATTGTAGGGGAAGACACTGGGGCACTGAGAGGTTGAGCCGACTGGTTAAAGCAATCCATCCAGAAAGTGGCCTCCTCACCCACTTCTGCTCTGAAGGGACCTAATCTCACTAAGTGCCAGCAGTTACTAAGTGTCCACCGCTCTCATCTTTTCAGCCGACACTGAGTGAAAGCTGCACCTGAGCTTGGAGCACAAGGGCAGGAAACTGAGCTTCAGAGAAGTGGTTTTTCCCAGGTCACAGTCAGACACAGAAAAGCAGGCTATTTCACTAAAGTGAGAACTTCTTCAGTCTGTAAGAAAAGTCCAGAAAGTCCACCATGGAAATCTGTCCTTCCGTTCTCTTGAAGATAAATACCTCCCCGAGAAAGAATAGGAAGGTGTAGGTTGGAAAGATAGCTCAGTTGTCTTGCAAACAGGAGGGCCAGAGTATCACTCTTAGGACCCCACAAAAAGTATGGAGGCACACTGTGATTACAGAGCTGGGGAGGGAGAGGAAGAATATTTGGGATGTGCTGGCTGGCCAGCCTAGCCTACTTGGTGAGTCCTAGGCCAGAGAGAGACACTGCCTCAAATAACTCAGGGTGGACAGTGGTTGCATAACAACAAAGTTGTTTTCTGGCCTCCACACAAAGGCACGCACATGTGCACATGCACTCACCCACATACATGCATCTACACATACACAAAAGTGCACATACATACAAATATATACTGGTATGTTAAAAAGAATAGGAAGCTGTACAAATTACTATTGAGTATCTGTTCATGAGAAAGAAATACAGCCTATGAATCGGCCTTGTCTTTGCTATGTTTGCCACCAATGCGGCAGTAAAAAACTTCACAGATTGGTGAAGCAGGGTGGTCACCACCTTGAGAAATAGCCCTTGGAGAAGCCAGGTGCATAAAGGGTTCGTCCTGACTCACTGCTAAGAGCATGATTCTAAGAGTCCTCTGTTATGGGAAGTGACAAAGGGAGCCACTTAACCACGGTAAATGTCCTTTTGGTTTAGGAGTGGATACCCTGGCACAGATGTGGCTCAGTGGCTGCATCGGCAGGGGTTCTGTAGGGCCTGATGAAAAAAAGTTTGTCATGGGCACAGGATGCACTCAGAACACCTGACAGCCATTTTCACTACACACAGTCTGACCCGGATGTTAGGAGCAGAGACAAGCTGCTGGGTAGAAGCCCTGGACCACTTCAAGGATCCCAGGACTCATTATCAAGGTGGTCAGCCACCCAGCCTGGTCCTACCAACCTGCCAACCCAGGTGTCAAATGGCACAGAGGCACAGGGAATTAGCACCACACTGACAGCACAAACTCACTGTCATTGCAGTAGGTGCCCAGTGGTGACAGACACAGATGGAGGAGTCACAGAGAAGGAAGCTGTCAGAATGTATGACAGCTGCTAACATAGGCTGGCTCCATGCCCTGGGCTAAGATGTACAAGGCAGAAACAGAGACCACTGCCCTGCAAAGCCGTATCTCTCCAAGGATGGACTCAGTTCGTCTCTGTGTCCCTCCCCCATTGACTGTGGGAGGGATCGCTAAAAGAATAAAACCCATTTCTAAGTCTTCGACTCTTAAAAGCAAGAATGTGCTGGTACTAGCCACATGTTTCACCTTGAGTAGGAAAGCCACTAACATTCTGGGCAGCTGGCCAAGGCACTGCAGAGAATGCAGAACAAGCAGCTGACTCACATTTCTTGAAATGTCGAGATTCGAGTGTGTGCATGACACACATTTAGAAGCCAGAGGACAGCCTTGGCTCTCCTTCCTTAAGCACCATACATTTTTTTTTAGACAAGGCTTCCCATGGCCTGGAACTTAGCAAGTAGGCTAGGCTAGCTGGTCAGCGAGCCCCTGGGATCCAGCAGGGATCTCCACTTCCCCAGTGCTGGCATTAGAATTCTATCATACTCAGATTTTTTTAAACAAAAAATGATAGGTTCTGGGGATTGAACTCAGGTCCTCATGCTCACAAGGCAGGTACTTTACCACCTGAGCTATCTCTCCAGGCCTGTGAGACTCAGGTTCTTGTAGTCATGCACCTGCTACAATCATTTTTATATTGTGGGATTCTAACTATACAATAAAATTTGTAACATCAATCATATGGCTAGAAAATGTTTCTGGTTTGCATTTGGAGCATGAATGTGAGGGGAAAGTTCTAAATTATCAAAAAGCAAATGTCAGGATAACAAGATTGTGGGTGGCAATGTATGCATTCATGCCAAACTTCTGTTGCTCTTTTTGTTACTTACTGATACAAGTAATTTTTAATAAACTTGTAGGGGATAAACCATTTGCCTCTGGTGAAGTTCTTAGTTGCATTTGGAAGCAAAGACAGGAGGTAAAACATGACATAAAATGCCGGGCAAAGTGACTCATGACTGGGGGAAGATGAGAACTGCAGTGAGTCTGAGGCCAGCCTGAGCCACAGTGATTCCTGGCCAGCATGAGCTACAGAGTAAAACTTTGTTTTCAAAGCACAAAACCCTAAAATAAACAAAAAAATTTAAAAACAAGACGCAAAGTGCTTTGCAAACAACAGCCCCAGTAATTCCGAATATTTGAAAATACCACATCATGGGTGATACAGCAAGAGCCCAAGTCCTGATTTCACCTGAAACAAGACTGCTGGAACCACTGTTCCGAAAAGCTCACCCCAGCGGACAAAATCTCAGGGGCAAGGCCACGGCTTGGAGGTAGAACACTTGCTTAGAATGTGTGAGACAAGGCAGGAACCCGAAGGCAGGTTATAAAGTAAAGGAATCTGAGTCCTGCACTGGGTTTTCCTCTCCAGTTTGCTTGGCTGCAACTTGAGGTGGTCTGGACTTGAGGTTGTCCCCTGGCCAAACTTGCCTTCACCACGGAGCTCCGCGATACAGATGTGCAGAAGCAAATTAAGAACAAGATGGCTTTCATCGAACAAGAAGCCAACAAGAAAGCAGAAGAAATAGATGCAAAGGCAGAAGAAGAGTTAAATATTGAGAAAGGTTGTCCTGTGCAAACCCAAAGACTGAAGAGTATGCAATATTGTGAGAAGAAAGAAAAGCAGATTGAACTCAAGGTCCTCAGAGAAAGAGACGATCTCATCGCCGATCTGCTCAATGAGGCAATACAGAGACTCAGCAAGGTAGGTGATAAAAGATACAACCAGGTACCAAGTTCTGCTGGATGGCCTGGTCCTCCAGGGCTTGTACCAGGAGCCTCAAATGATTGCATGTTGCAGAAAACAAGATTTCCTTTTGGTGACTGTCACAGTACAAAAAGCAATTCCTATGTATAAAATTGTCACACACACAAAAAAGGGTGACATCCAAACTGACCAGGAGGCTTACCTGCCTGAGGAGATAGCTGGTGGAGCTGAAATCTATAATGGGGATCACAAGATAAAGGTTTCCAACACTCTGGAAAGCCGGGTGAATCTCATAACCCAGCAGATGGTGCCGGGAGTCTGGGGAGCCTTGTTTGGTGCAAATGCCAATGGGAAGTTCCTGGACTGAGCCTGGGAAGGTGCTGCTCATATGAGGCTGTACTCCTGTGGCAGCAGATATCTGTGTGACTTCCTCTTTCTGTTCTAATACTGATAATCAGTGGATACCCTCTGCAGCTAATGCCCTCGGCCCAGTGTCAACAGAAGGTGTGGCCAGGAATCCAGCTCCAGCTCATTTGCCACCACATCTATGCACTGGTTCTGCAGCAGGCTGTGAAGGGTCAGATGGTGCTGCATGGCCCTCACTAAGGACCTATTTTTTCCTGTTCCTATTATGGTCTAGAGTGAATGTGCATGCTGTCTGTCCCCTACTCTTTGAGTATAAGGTGCATGTGGGGCTTGCATTCCTCCAGCAACACTAGCTTCATTGTTCCTATTTGGGTCTGGTTCTTCTTATATGCAAATGTGATTTAAAATCTAAGACACAAATATTCTTTGTTTATTAAAACGAAAGGTATATGGGGGAACAAAGGAATGTGTGAGACTCTCAGTTTAATCCCCAGTAAGTAATATACATACATGCATGCATGAGCCCTCTTTAAGTAGGTTGACATAGAGATCAAATCCTGGGATCTCCCAAAGCCAGTGGAGAGATTTTCTCAAGTTCTACCCTTCTGTTTTGCTGAATCCACATGCTGGTTTGGGACCACCTCTTTCCATTTTCTACATTTCTTTCGGAGTTGACTGTGTAGTCTGGTCTTTTTTTGAGGTCAGTTTTCATGGTGATAACCAGCCAAACGCCTTATTATTGCTCTATCAGTCTCATACCTCTTGGCAAAACTCTGTTATAATTCTTTTAAAAAATAAGATAAATTCACAGCATCCAGTTGACAATTTTGGGGGTGACAAATGAGTTTCTAAACCAATGGGGTGCAGAGCAGAGCCTGGGAACTTAGGAAACAACACCCGGTGAACCAGGTTGTTGGGGTTCCATGTGTCTGGAGATACTAGGGGATTTTTTTCCTCAAGATAAAATATTCTCTTCTAATAGCATGCAGCAGAATTTACATGTGGTAGGAAATTCAGACAATGATGTCCTGATAATCCCAACACCTTTAAAAGGGGAAAGTCTTACAATCCAATTCATATAATTGGTGTTAGTGACAAGGGACTAGGGTTTGTGGCACTAGGTAGAACAGGAAAGGGCCTGTTATCTTGGCCCAGCCTTACTAGAGAGAGAGCCCAGTGCAGAAGGCTGCAGAGAGACTCATACACTTGAAGGTATTGAGAAGAGCTTGTACTTGGTCCAGTCCTTTGACTGTCCATTAGACTTGGTCAAAGCCAACCTTTTTAGACACAGAGAGAGCAAGCTGGGAGCTGTATCTGGGTAATACGCAGTTGGGTCCTTCAAGCATCTCACAAAATCCTCCAACAAACCAGTTCCATAGTTCACTGTGCCTTATACTATCCCTCTCCACCATTCACTGTTTTGAGAATCACACTGTGACTGACATCCAGACTTCATGCAGCTGGATACAGGATACAGAAGGGCCCTTGTATGTTCCCAGACGAGCACAGTCTAGTTCAACTGAGACCCAACCTAGTCACCACACATGCCATCATTCTTACAAGATGATACTCTCAAATTCCACACAAGTGGGTTATAAAGATATCTAGCACTTCAGGAATGCTTAGTGAAGGACTGGAGAGATGAGTCAGTAGTTAAGAGCACTGACTGTTCTTCCAGAGGTTCTGAGTTCAATCCCAGCAACCACATGGTGGCTCACAGCCATCTGTAATGAGATCAGGTGCCCTCTTCTGGCACAGGCTTACATGCAGGCAGAACCTTGCATACATAATTAATAAAATAAATAAATCTTTAAAAAAGCTCTCTTCGTTTAAAAAAGAAGAATGTTTAGTGAGTGCATACAATGGTGAGGGGAAGGATAGAATAGGAAAGGGAGACAATAGGAGAATAAGGGTGAAGGAGAAAGAGGAAGAGAGAGAGAAAAGAAAGGGAGGAAATGGAGGGAGGAAAAGTAAGGAAAAAAACTAATGAATTTTAGAATGCCAGTAACTGTTCACTAGGAAATTAATATATTGAATAAAAGCAAGATCAATCATTCCATAATCAAATGATTTCTCAGGAATTTGTGGGATAAAAGAGAATTAGTTCTACTTCTCTACATAGGGGTATGTCTGTCACTCAGGCCATTCTTCTTCTAAAAGACATTTCAGAATTACTAGGTTTACATATAAAGGAGAAAGATGTTTTTTTGCCATCTAACAGCTCAGAACTTCCTCCCTCATGGGACTTAGGGTGCTGTTAGTACAGCATTCGTCACACTTCGTCACGAAAACTTACTAGTTCCTAACAGTAAGTCAAAGCTCATCTTTATGCACATAGGCACAGCAAAGCATCAGGTATAGCATCCCACAAGCTACTAGAGTTCTCCACAGGCAGAGTCCTCTGGATGTCCCCGTCTCCCTCAGGCTTTGTAAAAAACAGTAGGTCTAGAATTTACATGAAGTGATTTATTACTGCAAGACGCAACCAACCCACATGTGGAAAATTCCACTCTGTGGGCACTGGTGTCTTTAAACCAAGGTATTTTATATTGATTTAGGATAAGTGTTCCTGGCAAGGGTGGGGCCCAAAAGATGTGGGGAAGAAAAAAAAAGAATTTCAGGGCCTTTCATGTTATTTTAAAAACAATTTAATTATTGATTTTTTTCTTCTTAAAGGGAGGCGGGAAATAGATTTGTCTAAGTGAAAACTGAGAGATCAGCTGTTTTGTGTAGGTAGGGACATGGGAACCAATCTTATAAAGAACAGGAATCTCCCACTTCCTGAGCACTCCAGGGCATCCCAAAAGCAGTTCCTGGTGGGAGGGTGAACCAAGAGGCCATCACCCTGCCACCAAGTTCAAGTTCATGTTGGAGGTGATTTGTTCTCATTTTCAGATGTCTGTTCTACCCATCCTCTCAGCACGTCACAGAAGATCACCTCAGTGGGTAAAGGACAGTGACACAGACAGGATAAAAGTCAATGGTCTAGAACCAAGGGGATTGGAGTAACGATACCCACTTTAGGCAATCATTTAATCAGTGGTGACTACAGTGCCTGCATTTACTGGCTCCTGGCTTTATGGGGGTGAGGAAGTGACTCTGGCTACTGCTCCATAGGAATACAGTGTTCCTCTTCTTGTGGGCACTGGGCTCAGAAGTAACTGGACATCAGCTATGGAGATGCCTTCTCAAGGACCAGTGGGAGAAAACAGATGTGACCACTATGCACAGAGGAAGAAGTGCCTTTGCTTAGCTCAAGTGTGATTTGACTGAAAGCCTGAAATTAGTGCACTTACTTGAAATAAAACCCACGGTGTGAATGCCTGTAATCCCAGAATTTGGGAGGTAGAGGCAGGAAGATGGGAAGTTCAAGGTCATCCTCAACTCTAAATAACAAGTCCAACACTAACCTGAACTGCATGAAACCCTGCCTCAAACAAACAAAAGGCAACTCTACAATTTCAGTACTGGCACTAAAGCCAAGGGGAGCAATATATATATATATATATATATATATATATATTTATATATATTGGTTTTATGAGACAGGGTTTCTCTGTATTGTTTTGGAGGCTGTCGGTCCAGCCAGGCCTCGAACTCACAGAGATCTGCCTGCCTCTGCCTCCCGAGTGCTGGGATTAAAGGCATGTGCCACCACTGCCCGGTGAAGGGGAGCCTTATAGACAGGCTTCTGTCATTATGTCTTGGGGATATTATCTGTCCACGCTTTGGTGTCCTGTTTTTCAGGATGCCTGCCACTTTGGCCTTTCTTTAGTGAAAAGAATGGGTCAGGGGAATAGCTGAATGTGACCTCTCTTGGTAAGAAATGCCAGGAAGTATGTGGGTGAGTGACACTGCATGTAACAGGGGTAGCAATAAGATACTGTGGAATATTAAAGATGTGTTATATTCATTGGTGCTGCAGAATATTGGTTTAATGATGCAAAGATGTATTGCATTCTCTTATGCTGCATTTGTTTAACTACGTAAAGCTATGTTACTTTGCCTATCTAAAACACCCAATTGGTCTAATAAAGAGCTGAGTGGTCAATAGTTAGTCAGGAGAGTAAAACAGAAAGGGCTGCCATGCAGGGAGAATAAATAGGAGAAATCTAGGCTTAAGAGAAGAGGGAGGAGCAAGAAAAAGGGAAGGAATTTGTCTTTGAAACCATTCTGTTAGCCTGAACCCCAGACTGATGGCTGGGAATCCAGCATGGGATTGATCCAGACCCCCTGAATGTGCATGTCAGTGAGGAGGCCTAGGCAATCTATGGGGCCTTGGGTAGTAGATCGGTATTTATCCCTGGCATACAAATGGACTTTGGGTACCCATCCCACAATGAGAGATGCTCTCTCAGCCTAGACTCTTGGAGGAGGGCCTAGGCCCTGCCCTGGATGAAATGACAGACTCTGGAGATCCACCATGGAGGGCCTTGCCCTCCCTGGGGAAGGGAGTGGGGGTTGGGGGAGGAGGGATGGCGGTTGATGGGAGGACATGGGAGGAGGGGAGGGAGAGGGAGAGAGACCTGGGATTGACATGTTAAAAACAATAAAAAGAAGAAAAAAAAGAAAAGAAAAGGGGAAGGAGAGGAGCCAGCCAGCAAGCCAGCCTGCCACAAAGTAAGAGGGAAGAAAGATATATAGAATAAAGAAAAGTAAAAAGCACAGGGACAAAATGCAGTTATAGAGAAATGGGGTAATTTAAGTTAGAAAACCTGGCAAGAAACAAGCCAAACTAAGGCCAGGCATTCATAAGTAAGAATAAGTCTCTGTGTACTTATTTGGGAACTGGGTGACAGGGCCCCAAAAGAGTAAAAAACAAAAAACAACTACAAGAAGATGTTTTTGATCATTTAAATTAGTTTGAGATAGGGTCTGGTATATCCCAGGCTGGTCTCCTACTCATTATGTAGCCAAGAATGGCCCCGAACTTCAGATCTTCCTGCCTTTCCCTCCCAAGGGCTAGGATGACTGACATGCACCACCACACATCTAGTATAT